ATTACATTTTCAATACTTATTTTTCAGTTTAATTTTTCAGTGTTATAAAAATCTGCATATAACCTTTCAAAATTCAAACTCAACATTTTCAGCCTCCTGAGATTCAACTGGCTCTATTTCACTGTCTTAAATTCGGCGTCTAAATTCAGTGTAAAAAGCGAAGGGTTACTTCAGGTCACAGACAATAGCAATGGATTGTGGCGTCCAACACCCAGCCAATCCCGTTACGTTTTCTTAGTCACGTGACGTGACGCTTGTGGCGCCCATACTGACGGAAAACCAGCATCACTGAACCGGTCATGCAAGCTAACGCTAACTCAACTACAGAAAAATGAAAGTAATAAGCTCACCGTTGAGTTAGCGTTAGCTTGCATGACCGGCTCCGTCATCTTGGTTTTCCTTCAGTATGAGCGCCACAAGCAAGCAAATTTTAGTGGCATTTTTAATTCAAATCCCAGCGAAACAGATTTACTTCCATAGAATCAGCCCGAAAAGGGCAAAAACTCGTACAGTGTCCATCTGGATAAAGTGCCCTTTCCTTTCTCCTGGCTCCTTCTAGTTACTCTTTGTACACCTGCTCCCTATCAACTAATCATTCCTCCCATTCTTTCTGTCTCCTATATATACACCTCCTGTTCAGTTACTCCTTGCTGGATCCTCGTCATTCGTTATTTGGTTCCTCAGATTTTGTTGATCGTTTCTGGACTATTGCTTCTGTATTTTTACTTTTTCTTTAATTTTTACAAGAAATTACCTCTGCCTCTCTAGCGCTGCATTTGGGTCCAAATCAAATTCACAAACATTTACACTAGTGGTTAGCGCAATTAGCGAATAAGCTAGCAGTAGCCTCCGTGTGTTTGCTTCAGAATGCAGATCTTATTCTTATTTCTGGTCTATGACAGAAAGAAGCTAAAAACACAACAGGATAAAACATCAAATTGTAGCTTTACTCTGCTAGGCCTTCCTGTTTTCTGTTCAAAGTCTCGCTCTCTCTCTGCCAAACGGAACCTCAGACATGTTTTGAAATGTAGCAGAAAGTACTGAAATTAAGTTAT